CCCTCTCCCCTGTGGGTGACCGGAGCCCCGTGGCCCTGTCAGCCACTCGTGATCTGTATTTCAAATGTCTGTCTTGTTACTCAGTAGTAGAGGAAAAACAGCGCTGCAGCTGGCGTGGCCGGGGCTGTGGGGAAGGCTCCTGCGCGTCGAGGCAGGATTTTGAAGGCTGAATCCCTGCTCACTTTGCCGTTGTGCCCGAGCCCTTTAGAACAGTTCAGGAAGCTGTGTGAAAGGCCCTTCTGGGAGGAGGTAGCAGAGGAGACCAAAAGGCAACTGCTCTTCTTTCCTGATTTATTTTGAGGGATAACGGGCACACGGAACTTCATGTCAGTGCTGATCCCTCTGTGGTGAGAGAGCTGAAGCAGCGAGCAGAGGCAGCCTGGCGGGGCAAGGGAGGGGAAAGGACCGAGTCAGACACACCAGCAGAGTCAGAACCATGGAAGGAAACCTCAGCCTGATGCCTTGGAGCACTTTTTTTTTTTTTTCTCCAGCACCCACCTCTGCCCCAGGGCTGGCACGAGCGGAGCCGGCCCCGGTGCACAGCCAGGGAAGGGACCGCTCTTACTCACGTGGGAAGATGGAAATAAGAAAGGTGATTTTTGTAGTCCTATTCCAGTGGTCCCTGTGTGCAGACGGTCAGGAGTCACTGTCTCCGTGGCGGGTGGGTGCACTGACCTCCGGTCGGAGGTGTGGCAGCAGCGTCCATCACCCCAGCCCAGGTCCCTGGCTTATTTGTACGCTTTTTTTATTTTCATGGGCCTCCTGACCATAACAAGTGATGAGCGAAGCTGTGACTGCAGGGAAGCACAGTCAGCCCCTAACCCATCGCTGCTGCTGCGCAACTTGGTCCAAGTAGCACCAGAGAGCTTACACCAATGATTGTCTTAAACGTATTTCAGATTTTACAATTCCTCTTTTAGTAGAGCACGAATCGGAAGGGACGTTTTTATGACAGAATTAATTAACGATGATGCCAGTGCCTCACACCTGTACTGTTTCCTTCTGAAGTGCAATGCAGCC